GTAATTACCACCAAAGCTGTGCTGAATCTAAATGTGCAAATAATACAAATGTAAACCAAATTTAATTTGGTTCTTTAACATATCAATATTAATCCATATTCTGCAAGAAACAAGTGTTAGCATCATGCTAATTAGCTGATAAAACCACCATAGAAACAGCTAGCATAATGTTAATCTCTCCAGAACATTCATGCTGGAAAAACTATTTTTAAATATAGTTTACAACATAAAAATTAAACTACAGTTACAAAAATGTTTAATATTATGAAACAAACAATTTACCACTTTTGTCAATGTATAATATATAAAGGTTAAGTTTTTTAAGACATTTTCTTCTTTTAAAGTCACTTTCTGAAAAGTGATTTATACTTCCGGTTTCCTACAAACCCCTTCAGAATAAGAGTCACCTAGTAAAATGGAGGGAGCCAATCCAACCTCCCCAATATCATGAATTGGACCTTTATTCATTTATTAAAATAATAAAATAATAATTACAAACTTTTACGAACAAATTGAAAAAAAACTGAGTTATGCAGAGTTTTAATTATTTAAATGGACTTGTTTTGTTGTTTTTTATATATAAACAATAAACTGATATTTTCACAACCTCAGTCTGTCAGATATGCTGTGATCTTCAGAAACACACAAGATGCTGCTGAATAGGAAGACTGCAATAAAATTATTTATTATGTCACAGATTTCTCCTAATCTTAAGTGACAAACTATCTTCAGCACACAGCTCCGTCAGATTCTGGCTTCAGTAATAAACACTTTTTTCAGCTGCTTGTTCAGAGTTTGTGTAAATGTGAATGAGCCAGCTTCTATTTATGTATATTTTTACTGTTTTTACTAAACCCAGCTCAGACAAATCAACACAACAGCTTCTGTCGTTATGTTTTATTCTGAAGCGTCGTAACTCTGACCTGATCTGAGACTCGTGTTTCTGTTTCCCACCGCAGCCTGTAATTCAAGACCACCGTCCCAACAAACACAAACCTCAGAGTCTGATTTCAAACCTGTTTTCTTTATGAAACAAACATTCTGGCTTCACGTTTCAGAACAATGGGGCCCTTTGAACCTGCAGAACAGGAGGTGGGTAGGAAACAGGAAGTCGTTGTACTGACTCGCCCTGGTTCTGTTTGTTCCCTCAGGGATCTTCTACACGGCAGCCGTGGTGGGTCCTGCAGCCGGCTACCTGCTGGGAGGTTACTTCCTCAACATTTACACCGACGTCCACCTGACGTGAGTCCATTCCAACTGGCAGAACCAGCTAGAATTCAACAGAAATAACATAATTAGTTTGAAATAACAAGTTTTCGGAAGTTTGTTTGAAATAAAGTGTCCCACACAAACACAAAGACCTCAGGTCCAACCCAGGGCTTGAACCCAGGAAGCTGTGAGGTTGCAGTGCTAACCACTAATCCACCGTGCTGGTGGACTGGATTCAGTTGATTAAAACTGATAATCTTTTGTGATTCATGTTTTTAATGTTCAGTTTAAAACCTGGTTTTCACGTGTTCCAGGACAGAGATGTCTCCAGACAGTCCTCACTGGGTCGGGGCCTGGTGGATTGGTTTCCTCGCAGGAGGAGCTGCTGCCTTGCTGGTCGCCCTCCCCATCCTGGGCTACCCCCGGCAGCTGCCTGGTACTGCTCCTTTCCACCGTTTCCATCACAGACACTTGGTTCCAACTAAAACAACTCTTGTATAAAAAAGACTKGAGTTTGTGGACGTGCTAAATGTCTCGGTGTTTCCCTTTCAGGCTCACAGAAGCATACGAACATGCGGGTGTCTGAAACCCACCAGCTGAAGGATGGAAGCCACATCACGGCCTCGGACCCCCAGTTTGGAAAATCAGTCAAAGACATGCCGAGGTAGAGACGTTTCTCCTGGTCCAAGGATGATCTTTTTTTATCTTGATCTCTTGTTGGATCGATTAAAACTAATGAAGTTTCTGGTTGACAGAAACAGGGCCGGAACTAGATGTTTGGGGGTCCTAAGCAGGATATGTAACTGTGGACCTACTGTATTTATTCAAGTATAACATGTAAAATTAAATCCATAAAATCATCCATAAAGATGGGGGGTAGTACTACACTCGGATAAATATTTTTACTTATGTATTTTAACTGAAATATCGGCTTCATTCACAAAATGCCTGAGTCCAGAAATGAGACCTCGTCATAAAAAGCAGTTGAAACGAGCTCACCTCTGACACTCCTCCGTGCTTCAGAGCGAGATAATAACAGATCCAGGCAGGAGACATGATGTGAAAAAAAAAAAAGGGGGGGGGAGTATTCCTGCACCTTAGTAATGATAACAAACTAATGACAGTGTGTGACCGAGCCGCTCCTCGAACAACAACAAACACATGTTCGTCTGTAATGGCTGCCGTTTACCGGTGTTCTGAAAAAGTTTGTATCCCTGAAAAAAATGTTTCCCCACCAGAGGGGGCGCTCGCGAGTAGGAAGTAATCTGCTTTTCCCCCACAAGATGGTCCAAATCTCATGTGAAGTCTCTGACTTTTGTGTTGGCGCCTCCTGGTGGACTATGTGTAAAATGCCGGAATTCATATGATGTTGCTACAGCTGATATACACTCACCAGCCACTTTATTAGGTACACCACGCTAGTAACGGGTTGGACCCCCTTTTGCCTTCAGAACTGCCTCAATTCTTCGTGGCATAGATTCAACAAGGTGCTGGAAGCATTCCTGAGATTTTGGTCCATATTGACATGATGGCATCACACAGTTGCTGCAGATTTGTCGGCTGCACATCCATGATGCGAATCTCCCGTTCCACCACATCCCAAAGATGCTCTATTGGATTGAGATCTGGTGACTGTGGAGGCCATTTGAGTACAGTGAACTCATTGTCATGTTCAAGAAACCAGTCTGAGATGATTCCAGCTTTATGACATGGCGCATTATCCTGCTGAAAGTAGCCATCAGATGTTGGGTACATTGTGGTCATAAAGGGATGGACATGGTCAGCARCAATACTCAGGTAGGCTGTGGCGTTGCAACGATGCTCAATTGGTACCAAGGGGCCCAAAGAGTGCCAAGAAAAGATTCCCCACACCATGACACCACCACCACCAGCCTGAACCGTTGATACAAGGCAGGATGGATCCATGCTTTCATGTTGTTGACGCCAAATTCTGACCCTACCATCCGAATGTCGCAGCAGAAATCGAGACTCATCAGACCAGGCAACGTTTTTCCAATCTTCTCTTGTCCAATTTCGATGAGCTTGTGCAAATTGTAGCCTCAGTTTCCTGTTCTTAGCTGAAAGGAGTGGCACCCGGTGTGGTCTTCTGCTGCTGAAGCCCATCTGCCTCAAAGTTCGACGTACTGTGCGTTCAGAGATGCTCTTCTGCCTACCTYGGTTGTAACGGGTGGTTATTTGAGTCACTGTTGCCTTTCTATCAGCTCGAACCAGTCTGCCCATTCTCCTCTGACCTCTGGCATCAATAAAGCATTTCCTCTCGCAGGACTGCCGCTCACTGGATGTTTTTTCTTTTTCGGACCATTCTCTGTAAACCCTAGAGATGGTTGTGCGTGAAAATCCCAGTAGATCAGCAGTTTCTGAAATACTCAGACCAGCCCTTCTGGCACCAACAACCATGCCACGTTCAAAGGCACTCAAATCACCTTTCTTCCCCATACTGATGCTCGGTTTGAACTGCAGGAGATTGTCTTGACCATGTCTACATGCCTAAATGCACTGAGTTGCCGCCATGTGATTGGCTGATTAGAAATTAAGTGTTAACGAGTAGTTGGACAGGTGTACCTAATAAAGTGGCCGGTGAGTGTATATTTGTTGTCAAAATACCTTTTAGTACATATGTTGTTAAAATAAAATGAACAGTCCAATGATCATTTTACTGATATGTTTAAAGACTGCAAAGGCTGAAAAATCTTGAAGTCTGTATGAAATTGGAGGTAGTTTGAGGATTAAATTTTTTATGCTTTTTAAGCTCAAAAAAGGGGGGGTCGTATTATACATGAGATCATATTATACATGAATAAATACGGTATTTCACCATAAGTAGGCAATAAAAAGATACACAGAAGCAAATGCTGGATGTAATTATAAAACTGGTGCAGAAAATTCTACCTGTATTTATACTGGGTACCTTAGTTCATTGGGGGCGTGGTGCAAAATTAGAATCTGATAAATATTTTTATTATTATCAAATCAAATTTGTTTTCAATCATTATTTTAAAATATGATTATTAATAATATATTGAAATGTTGTTTAATGATATGTTCAAACATTTCCAAATTATAACTGGTAACAACTCCTGTAAGGTAGAAAATAACTTAAACACTAACCAAAAACTACAAACAATAAACTATTCTAACCAGTAACACTAATGTACACAATCAAAATTCAGCAAAATGATCAAGACAAAAAATGCAGTAAAGAAAAAAAAATATAAATATGTATATAAAAAAACTAAAAGTATATAAATGAAACTTAAAATTTTCATAAAATACATGTTCAAAGTACAACAAAATGAACAAGTATTTACAAAATGCAAGGAGTAATAAATGAAAACCTTACAAGAAAAAAAAACAAAGGCAAAATCAGCTAAACTAGTTTCATATAAAATCTGAAACCAATGTGAAAGCTTCTGTTTAACTTTCTATCACTGAAACATCTAAATTTGAGATATTTCTCTCCTCCGACACCTAATTTGAACGAATAAAGGGATTAAGAAGCTTCTGCAGAACCTGAAGACCTGCTGAAGCAGTAATGCCTGCCTGCAGTGGTCCTCCAGGACCAGGACTGGGCACCGCTGTTCAGCTCGGTCTAACCCTCATGAGTTCAGAGCCTCGACTCGTTAGTAGTAAACAAAGTTGTAACCTAACAGCCACGGCATGATGTCATCACTCCTTAATCCCTGTGAGGATTGAACCGGATTACCCAGCAGATTACGTAAAAATCCTTGGATCTGTTTACTCGTTACATCACTTTAATTAAAAAAGAAGAGCATAGAGGGTTTTTATTTCTCCCTCAAACACAAACTCTCACTGACCTTGTCTTGGTCTGTTTCAGATCTGTGCTGCTCCTCTTAAAGAACCCGACCTTCCTGTTCCTGTGCCTGGCCGGAGCCACGGAGACCATGCTTGTCGCAGGCATGTCCACCTTCGGCCCAAAGTTCTTAGAATCCCAGTTCAACATCAGCGCATCCGATGCCGCCATGTTGTTTGGTGAGTCATTAATACACAGACGGTTGGTTAATGACAGAAAACTTGTGCTTTTTAATCAACTAAAMTTTGAGTTCTACCATAAAAGCTCAACGTTCTAGTTTACAGAAGAAATAAGCAACAAATAACAGTTTAACTTTCCTGTTCGGCCTCCCCCCCATGAAGGTTACATGGTGGTACCAGCCGGAGGTGGAGGCACCTTCCTGGGCGGCTACATCGTGAAGAAGTTGAACCTGCGCTGTCGGGGCATCATCMGATTCTGCATGATCTGTGCCTTGATCAGCCTCTTCTCCACCCTCATCTTCCTCTTCCACTGTCCCAACATGCCCATGGCTGGTGTCATGGCGCCGTATCAGTCCGATCTGATGGGGCAGCATCAGCTGGATCAGTACAAACAGCTGTATGACAAACCCAGTGCAGGGCATCTGAGAAACAGGTGAGCATTGATAATGCTAACACTTGTCTGAGCTATGCTAATGCTAGCACTTGTCTGAGCGAGGCTAACACTAATACTTGTCTGAGCGATGCTAATGCTAGCACTTGTCTGAGCGAGGCTAACACCAACACTTGCCTGAGT